TTTGCTTCGGGAGACCCGTATACGTGACCAAGGTCATCTCTAGCAGTTACTACTGAGCTTTCTCAACCAATCTATGATGGCATTATTCCCTTCACAATTCCATAATCCTTCGTAAGGTCTTCGCATTTCTGCTTGATGGCTCTTGTTCGAAAAGGAAGAATTACTTCTGGTCCGAAGGGCTTTCCAGCTTCATCAGACCAGGTGAGCGCAGACTCAGTCAGGTGCTGTGGGATTTGCTTGCTGTGCCGTCTTCTGGACCTAACAGCTCAAGGGCAGCGGCTCAATCTATCTAATTTTACATGTTGCAAGCGTATCGGAAGCTCCAATGGGTCGGTACCGCCATCCAACCCAATTCTGCCGCGAATCATTCGATCAGAAGATCAGGCGAGTGACAATCCTATTGCGAGTTAAAGCTGATGTAATAGGTACTTAATAGTCAAAACTTATAAGATAAGATAGTGATAGAAATTACTAGTCGGACGTTGATATAATGCAAAGACAAAGGCACAAAAGATAAGACAAAGATGGATAAAGATCCTGCCAATTAGTTTAGTTTTATTGAACTTTATTACTTTACTAGATAGGTACATTATCAGTTAAATGATGCAATCTTACGACTATGTTATGTCCATAAAATCTTTTTCTGATGCAACAATTGCTTAGCACGTAATGAGTAATGTGTATCGCCTGTGACAATCGCGTTGGAGGGCCATTATGCCTATTATAATTCAAACTTATTTAAATAATTTTATATATGTATTTATTTGTGAAGATTTGTGACTTCAATTCCACATTTTTAGGGCGAACGTGACGCTTAGTATCACATGAGCCAAGAGATGGGTCACTAGATCGTAAAAATTACGTCATCTTTGCGATCAAACATAAATTTTCAGAATAGGTAAAACCCAGAACAGATTGGACACAAGATCCAAAAAATTGGCCTACCAACTCAACAGCACGTAAACTATTAAATTTACAAAAAAAAATAAGCACCGGTCCTCGTAAAGCTGGAAAGCCCCCCGAGCAAACCAGCCATTCAAAACGAACAAAAAGGGACACACAATTCCATATCCGTGATGTGAAACCAAATAATACTCTGTCTACCTTTTGACTAGATATGGAAGCGCGATGTTATTGCATGTTGAAAATGCATAATGCACACAAACAGTCTGACGTGAGGTGGCGTGACTTTCAGTACCAAGAAGTCAACAGCATTGAGCATTATCGAACACTTTACAAAGCATTGCTTCCTATTCAGTGAGCAATTAAGTTTTATTCGAAGCAAAAACGCAATGTAAACGTACGCATTCGATACAATAGCTACATCAGAATGGAAACTGCCCAGATGCTTTTGTTTTTATGTTCGAATCGATGTTTTCAAATACATTGCGTTTTTAGTTAGTGTAAAATATAATTCATGTCAAATACAACTCTATTGGACATTGAAAACTTGTAAATAGTAATTTCTGTGAAACCGATTAGTGGATCACAAATGATGTGGCGTTCGTCACGTACGCTTTGCGTTCTAGATGTAAAACGGAAAAAAATGGCTGATATATTTTTTTTTGTAATCGAGAGAGAGATGTAATTAGTTATGAGAAACGTGCAGGGTTTTTAGTTTTATTTTTCCTGTTGCTTTTGTTGTTTTTAATAGTGTGTTAGTTAATGTAGGATTTTGTCTTGAGAATTAAATTTTTCTTCCTTTATTTAAGCAGTTCTGACGCTCTAAAATATACACTTATCTATTGAGCATTTTTTTTTCTTTATAGATAAACATTGCCTTGACAAGGCCTTTGACAATTAGGACTTTTTACAGGGCTCTTTAATAAAAACATAAGGGCTTTTAGGAACTACACTGTCAGTGAACGATCAGTTATTGGTCGAGCATGGCAGAGCTATCACAGGAGTAGGCGATGAGATACTCCCACTCGTCGTTCTGTGAATATGGAGTTTGGGTTGTGTAAAATAAACACTAATGTATTTTGTTGACGCGAAGTCTGAGACGGCTAGGGAATATTAACCAGTTTTAACGACCTCACAAGCAAATTATATTGTTAGGTTAGTTTGAAATAAACGACTGAGTACTAAGGGACTAAGCATAAGAACGGTTATACATAACGTGACCATTCATATTTTTACTCAAAACGGGACCTCGGTTTATTTGGGACATTTGAGAGGTACATACATAATGAAAAAAACAGTACCTACTTTTTTAAAGTTATTATTCGGAAAAGTTAGCTTGAAAATTACGAATTAAAGAATATATATATACTCGAGATGTTTTGTTTTATTTATAATTAATTAGCGGAATAAATTTGCTTTAATATAGCTTGCGTTAGGCCGAAAACGGAACAATTTTGCGTTCCAGAGTTTATTTTGGGGACACCAGGACTCGTAATTATAAAAGGGACAGGGCATGGACAGGGTTACATCATGTCTGCAGCTATCCATTTAGATCGAAGTATCGAATGGCGTGGCTTATTATTTCATGCTCAGTCAGGGGTGATCCTAAAGGTTACATTCCTTTTCAAGTGTTCTATAGAAGACATCTTACTCTATGAGGTCAGTGTCATTAAAAATGCTGAGCATACTTGGACATGCGACACCAAATCAATAAAATGGCTTGGAAATATCCAATAATTAATCATTCTTTCGTTAAAAATCTATTTCAAATTCATTCGTAATTAAAAATGTATCATTGTTAAGTTACTTAGAAATCATTTATAAGGGAAATTAATTGAAACTAAATGGTCACCATTTATTTGTGTAACAGTATTGGTTCATTAGTAAATGAAATGTGATAACACGTTTATTTACTTTGCCGAATAAAATAATTAACAAGTAATCTATGATTAGTTCCGCGTCAATTTAACTACAAATGACGTCACTCGTATAATAGTGCTGGGTTCAATAGGGTTCAGTAGTGTTTGGGAAGCAAGAATCATTAAAGCCTTCGTCAAACAGAACGCGTACTTAGCGCCGCGTACTTAACGTCGCGCTCTTCAAATTGACTAGATGAGTCTAACGCTCCTTGACGCAACGCATTCGCCAAATCATGGTGCCTTTCGATAGCAGTGTGAAAATTTAAAAGTATTAAGAAATCGAGTGATTCAGATGTGGCATTGTATAAGCATGGGTAATTTCTAACTATTTATATCATTATTTCGGGCATTATCTAGTATTTTAATCACAGATCATATTTTAATACACATTCACTCGGACGCTAAAATAAAATTTGTAAAAAATTACAACGCCTGACGTCAAAGCGTCCTAACGCCGCGACAAGGCGCCGCGTACTTATAGCGCTGGGGCTCTGTTTGACGGTATGTTATAAAAAATACCATAGTAGTACAACACCTTTCGGCGTCATAGCGCGGCGTCAGTTTAGCGCTCTGACGCGCGCTATATACGCGTTCTGTTTGACGATGGCTTTAAAACATATTCCATCCTGTTTTATATAATCTATGTTGTTATTACGCGGCGCTTAAATTGGTTGCAATAAATCGAGAACTAAGTCACATAAATTAAAACATTAATTCTGACACCTTAAATTTTGTCACTAATAAAATTCGGAGTTTTTTTTTCTTCTGAATTTAATCACAAATAGTATTAATTCGTTTATACGATAATCCACCTTATTTACATTTAATTAAGACGAAAAATCTTTTAGACATGAGCTAGTAAAAACTGTCTTCACAAACACGCGACAAAGAGGGCATACGTGGCGCGACAGAGACGGCATGCTGTTTTTGAGCATGTTTTCTTGTGAGTTGTTTGTTACTTCTAAATTTAAAAATATCCAAACATTACGTAGATACCTATTCTATTTCTAGTCCTAATATTGAATTGGTAATAAAAATTACATATTTATTTATTATCACTCGAATTTTTAATGCCGATTGTTTAATAGTTATTCCCACCCTCTAAATGTTTTTTTTTATTGCTTAAATGGGTGGACGAGCTCACAGCCCACCCGGTGTTAAGTGGTTACTGGAGCCCATAAACATCTACAACGTAAAGGCGCCACCCACCTTGAGATATAAGTACCTACCCACGTCGACTCGCAAGAGGTCCTACCACCAGTAATTACGCAAATTATAATTTTGCGGGTTTGATTTTTATTACACGATACATGGGTTGCGGGGATCATGTAGATTCATCAACACTGTCACTGTTTACGAACTTCAAAACTATGACTTATGTCGAAGAACTTTTGGTACACTATTAGATAGAATAAAAATATGTTGATTCTTACATAGTTTTTATTTAATTTTTTTATTGTTTATTAGGGTGGACGAGTTCACAGCCCACCTGATGTTAAGTGATTACCGGAGCTCATAGACGTCTAAAAAGTAAATGCCGCCACCCACCTTGAGATATAAGTTCAAAGGACTCAGTATAGCTACAACGGCTGTCCCACCCTTCACACCGAAACGTATCACTGCTTCACCGCAAAAATAGGCGGGGTGGTGGTACCTACCCGTGCGGACTCACAAGAGGTCCTCCCACCAGTAAAGTGAAGGACTGAACCAGACCGAGAACAAGGCCACCATAAACGCTAGCCATGTAGCCATGTAGACTCGGACATGTAGTACGTATGGAGCAGGATCGGGCTGTGAAACGGGTGTACACGGGTGTACCGGAGGGACGCCGCCCCGGAGTGAGGCTCAAGTACCGCTGGTGTGACGCTGTGGAAGGAAATTTACGGGAGCTCCAAGTGTCGGACTGGCAAGGTGTTGCGCAGCGCCGGGATGAATAGCAAAGTTTATTGTCGGAGGCCAAGACCCGCTTCGGGGTCATAGCGCCAGCTCAGTAGTAGCAGTACATAAACGCTAAATGTCCATGTCATGATGGGGTGTGTCGCGCCAGTACTTCGGGACTTCGCGAGATATTTTCATTAGGTATTTATTGAGGTCTGGCTTCGGTTGCAGAACATTGAAATTCTTTACGTATGGAGCTAAGCAAATAAAACATATAGTCAAATTTGTACTAATTTTTTTTATATAAACACAATAAACTTCACAAAATCTAGTTTTTTGTTTTATATTTACAAAATGTCTATAAAATATTTACACGATCACTATGAATATGTTCTATTCATGTACAGTTGTATGGTCCAGACGTACTCCTGATCAAGATGTGGGAGTAAAATGAGGAGAGTCAGTGCGAAAGCAAATATTAGGAAAATGTTATGGATGATGGGAGCTATAAGAGACCAGGATTGCTCACCATTATGACTAAGAGCTGGGCAAACCGAAGATCTTCAGACCACATGCACCAATCAGTACATGCATTATAGTTTCTTTATCAAGGGGTCTAGAAACAGGAAATATTGAATTTAATAAAGTAAAAATAAAAACTGATGAAAATGTGCGTAGTAAGATAAGTTGCACTATTTATACTCAACAGAACTCTTCATCTGGGTCATCCCATGCCATAGATAGTGATTTCGGATAAACCTTTATAGCCCCAAACCTAAATCCCGCGTCTATTTCGCAAAGGGATTTTTTGGAAATACTACTTGTAGGTATATTGACGCACAAGTAAAATTTACTATTACTATTAAACTGTCGATGACATATACAGATCTATCCCCCCATAACGGTCATGTCATACTAAGACGGAATGTCTTCCGCGCACCCCTTGTGATTTGCCAGGTGACTCAAACTATACTCAACCTCAATTTGAGGCAATACTAAACCACCTCTCACGTGGTAATCAATCAATATTTACGCAATGCTCTGGTCCCTTCTCATCATCTTCATATATCTGCTTAAATTTGTTTTAGGACCAGACGTTCGCAGATCAGAAAACTATAGGGCCACGCGCAGCCTTAAGTAAGAGAAACCTTCGCTTTTATCCACGACGTTAGATTTGTTTCAGTTGTCGCTCTCATGGTCTCCCAATATCAAGGGGTTCTCTTCCACTCCCGTCAAAACGACCGTGTACTGTCCAGCGGAATACTTCTTCATCTCTTGCTCGAAGAGTATATTGTTGATGGCTTGCTTAATCATTGACTGAGTTCGTTCATCGTGTTTACGTAACGAAGTGGCTATGTATTCTCCGAAGCTGTCACACTCATCTTTCTTCCTGGACTGTTCGGATTTCTTGAGGAGCTTTAGAGCTTCTACCAATCTACTGTCCAGTTGACTCCTGTGAGCGTTCCCTCGTGATAGCTTCTTTATAGGCCTCAGGATCTTGGACTTGAGAAGCGGTCTTTGGATGTATCTCTTTCTTGGACGTTCAATGGGCTCCTGTTTGACTTGTATGGATTCGTTGTCGCCGCTGCTGTCGTATGATGACGCCTGATCGGACGCTTGATGGTTGACTGATGGTTCCTCCTGCTCCGATTTCGAGGTCTGCGAGAGAAATCATCATGAATTGATCGTTCGTTTAAGCTAACTTTCAATGGACATGAGAGCCTTAATTATATTATAATTTTTTTTATTGCCCTTTTAGGCAGACGCCATACGGCCCACCTGATGGCGGGTGATTACTGTAGCCCATGGACTTCATCAATGCCGTCTACCTAATAGGATTGTCGTAATAAAAATGTCCAGCATTCGTGCCGAATGATGCAATTATGCCAAGGTTCCAATCGCGTATGTAATTACCGATTCTCATAACGAAATACGTAAATGAATCTCAGCGGCAAATAGCAGCGTCTAATAAAAATCAAATATTTGAGCACCGGCGACCAGACGAGCAGGTTGTTGTGAAGTAAGCAAGCGCTAAATCAAGCCGGTTTATAGGCTGTGCGATGTACATGAGTTCCGGTAACCACTTAATATCAGGTGGGCGGTGAGCTTGTTCACATATCATTTTTTTTCACTGCTTAAATGGGTGGACGAGCTCACAGCCCACCTAATGTTAAGTGGTTACTGGAGCCCATGCACATCTACAACCGTAAATGCGCCACCCACCTTGAGATATAAGTTCAGTCTCAGTATAGCTACAACGGCTGCCCCACCCTTCAAACCGAAACGCATTACTGCTTCACGGCAGAAATAGGCAGGGTGGTGGTACTTATCCGCGCGGACTCACAAGAGGTCCTACCGCCAGTAAGCGATAATCTAAGCGAAAAATAAAAATAATCGCCAATGTCCAAGTGACCAATCACCAACGTGAAGCCGAACGCGGCTGACGAACCTAAACTTTGTTCACATTACAAAGTTACCAAAATTTCCGGTCACATTCGCCTGTACCTACAAACGTTTTCAGAATCGTTTTCAATTCAAAATGTACCGTATTGTCCGCGTCGTTATTCTCCAAATGCGTCGGCCAGAACTTCATGTAAGGATACAGGAACCAGGTCGAGTGACCGCCGGCGCGAACTTTTGCCTTTTCGCGTCTGTGCGAAGCGAAAATCGAATTCAATTTCTTCCTCAGGTCCGGTATGTCACAGTCGAAGTGCAGCGCTAAAGTCGCCCACGCGTCATACTTGGCGGCTTGGGTCCGGTACAGCGAGTGCTTAGAGTCCCACAGCTCGGGGCGACGGCTGTACTCTTTGACGAGCTCAATAATAGCGTCATTCGTCCATTCCACTTCGGACATTTTGACGCGGCTAAATCAAACACTAATACTATGTAGTACGTATAATACTTCAAACAGAATCGACATTGAAATGATTACGTTCTTAAATGAAACGAGTTATTTGTAATTTGATTGCATAGCGAACGTTCGGCACGCGTTCGCTCGCGCACGCATCGAGCGAAGACTGGCTGTTCGGCGTCAGTGTTACTAGCTCTGTCGCGTAGATAATCTGTGTACTGCGACAATAGCGAGAGTGTCTTAAAACTTAAATCAAATAGGTCTGTAACCGGGATCTGTAGTTTTAAGTCTCTAATATTTAACCGTCAATTGAGTTTTAGCGGATTAAAAGTATAGAAATAAAAATAAACACATTAATACGTAACATGATTACTGTAATCGACGCTTCTATTGGATCCCCTAAAGTTTTCTGATGTGTTTTCTTTCGCATCGTTGTGATTTGAAACTACATCATAATGGAAATGATTTCTTTAAACTTCCACAGAACACAGAGGAGCCTTAAAAACCGTTACAAAACATCAATATACGTTGAATTTAAGCTTACAATTAAATGAAATAGAATATTTCTGAATATGTCTCTTTATAACGTACGAACTTGCACATCGCACTGTTTTTTCTTACTACAAAAATTACATGACCTATGGTAAAAGTAAAAAAAAACCGTAAATCTACAGTTAAAACCTCCGGGCTGGCAACACTGTTCGGCGTAGTTCGTGTACGCTCGGCGGCGCTCGGGTCGCGCTTGCTCTGGCTTCCAGTACATTCGTTGTCTCAACCGGTTCCATGAAGCGCGCGTATAAGACGGCCCTGTACCCTTTACTGCTGACACATCCCTATTTCCCTGCTCAGTCAGTGTTTTTACTGGCCAGCAGTAAACTACAATTCTCATTAGCCTTAGTCCAATTTCGATCTCCGTCGCGATAACACGTTTGGTGGTTTAAAAGTTTTTAAAAAAAAGGGTAAATCCAGAATTCATAATAATATAACAGTACGGACTAACTGCTCATCTTAACCTTACATACTGATCAATGGCTATGCTTAGGACTTTGTAACTTAACACGTTGACTACCATGTAAATCACCCTACGCAGCACACTAAATAAATATATACTAACAATCACGCCACGTTAACTGGTCCCGTACTAAGTTCGTAAAGAACTTGTGTTACAGGTACCAGATAACGGAAATAAATGTAATTTTTTTATTATACACATACATATCGACGCTTGAAAGGCAAACGTGACTAAGTGACAATAACTGCTTTGTACATAAATGATAGGCAATAACCATATTCGATGCCCAAAAAAATTATATTTCTAGGTCTATTAAAATAATTTCAATCCTACAACTAGATTCGTTAAAATATAATTTTTTTCAGGTATTTCAACTTTAAATTAGTCAGCTTAATTAAGCAGTAGCTTAGTCACGTTTGCCTTTCAAGCATCGATATATTTCATATACATCCATAACCCTGGAAAAGACATTTTATAATTATCATACAAATACATATCTTCCCTTGGCGGGATTCGTAACCGCGACCCCCTTGTGTAGTGATAGTGACCATGTCACTTATCACTACACCAGACGGCCGTTATTATACTGAAGTGATTAAGTCTATTGCTCTCTTCGATCTTCTTAATAGGGCACCAGAGTATCTAGTAGCCTCTGGAAAAGACGAGTCTAATAATACTACTACTAAGAATTAATATACTTCTAAGAGAACTAAACGTCTAAAACGTACATCAACAAACAAAAGAAGGCAAAGTTAGGCGCCATAGTAACGGATTGCTTAGATGGGTGGACGAGCTCACATCTTACCTGGTGTTAAGTGGGGGAGAGAAAGGACTGCTGCGTGAATACGTTCAAATATCATAATACATACTCAGTTACAATGGAAAAATAAAAATGGCCGATAAATAGGTATCTGTGGCAATCTATCTAATGCCTATTTTAGCGGTCATCAAAGATATGTAATATACTAGCCGTACTCGCCTGTTTCGCTGGGCATTTAAAATTAATATTATTATTTATTGTCATTATTATTAGGGAGCCCAACACTCATATAAATATTAGCCTATCCATTAAGTACACGTATTTTCTACATGGATATTAAGTTTCAATTCAATCGGATGCATGGTTCACTAGTTATAACGGAACATCCGTAAAAACCACTGTACAGTACCAGGCAATAAATATTGCACATCGATATTTAGAAGGACAGTCGTCTAATTTTGTTTTTGTTGTAGGGCGTTACCTGTGTGCGACGAAACACTAACGATCCGATATTTAGGGAGACTAAATGTCAATTAGATAATGTGCGACAGATATAACGCTCTACGAAGCAAAAATTAACCGTCTCTTTCAAATGGTCGATGTGCAATATTTATCGCCGGGTACTGTAGATTTATATATTAGTATAGATATGTACAATAAATACAATAATAGAAGATGTTTGACAGATGCCTGAATCACGCCAACGATATTTTCCGACCACGAAAACATTCGGGCCGGCGGTATACCGGACATTTCACCGACTCCTGGCTGAGCCCTTGCTCGCCCACATGTCCTGGTGAAACTGGAAAGGCCTCCGGGTCACCAGTAATTCTTGAACCATAAAAAAAAAACATTTTCACTAGCTCGGTGGCAAAGCTTTTTTATCGATACCAGAAAACTATACCTTATTAATATATGTATTCAGACATACGCGGATTTAGGCAGATTTCGTAAATTGAAAACCAATGGTACATCTTATGTAGTGTGGTCACCAGCATGATCGCGGTCGGTTGTTACCGACAGCTCGAGTTCCTTCCAAGTCTCGTTTGAAGAAGGATATGTAGAGGCTCTCAGGAGGGACGGGGTGAGTTCTTTTCATAGCTGAATGATACGCGGCATATCTCCAGAAATATACCGTGGAAGAGCGCAGTGGTCTTAGGTAACATGGATGAAATTTGCAGATGCACAGCTAAGGCATGCCACGTGATTAAGCCGAAAAGGCCTCTGTTTTCGGGGCTATTTAAAACGTTATCACCAGACACCGGATTCACGTTTACTATCAGACAGACGAGAACGTGTTTTGATTTTTACTCGATTAAATAATGTTATTATTAATAATTACTAAAGATTATTTTATCAAAAATAATCGTGTAACAACAGAAATGATATCACAATCGCATTTTATGCTACGTAAATAGACGCTAGTATTAGAATGGGTAAAAAAGGAACAAAGCGTATAAGAAGATTATTTTTTGGTTAATTCAGGAGATGTTTGGAGGAAAGCTTTTTTTTTTTTTTTTTTTTTATTGCTTATATGGGTGGACGAGCTCACAGCCTACCTGGTGTTAAGTGGTTACTGGAGCCCATGGACATATGCAACGTAAATGCGCCACCCACCTTGAGCTATAAGTTCTAAGATCTCAGTATAGTTACAGCTACAACGGCTGCCCCAACCTTCAAACTTCATTACTACTTCATCACCCTTCATTACTGCTTCACGGCAGAAATAGGCAGGGCGGTGGTACCTACCCGCGCGGACTCACAAGAGGTCCTACCACCAGTAAGGTGTACAAACCACCTACAAACAAACCACAGGTGGTTCTACAAACCACCTGAGGTTAAGCGGTCAACGTCGTCCGTGGACATTAGTGATACCAAAGGCTGGAATACGACACCGCTTACCGTCAAAAAAGTCACATGGACCAGTATAATTCTGCTTATGGCATCAACAGAGGAGAAGGCGCGTCAACTTGAATCATTGCAATCACCAAGATCAGAAGACCCACAGTTTCAACTTATTTACGCCTACAGGCGGGTCATCGGGAATGGACCTTTTATTGTAGTTTTTTTGTGAATGAAAAGGGGTTGGGACCCTCGCGTTGAAAATCAAGGGGTTGTCAATAAATGAAATTCTATTTCGTCCGAATACGTATAGTATGTGATTTCAGGGGTGTTTTACTGGCGACGCCGTCATCCGATTATAAGCCAGTCGCAAACGAATTCATTTCAGATGATTTACTGCTGGTAGAACGTATTGTGAATCCGCCCGGGTATCAGACTTTGTGACTATTTAGACAGACCCTAGATGAGACAGTTCAGAATTGATCACACGTATGGTAAGTTAATTTTTTATTGCTTAGATGTGTGGAGCCCACGGCCGTCCTGGTGTTAAGGGGTCACCCGAAACCATAGACAACTAAAAAAAACCACCACCTTGAGACATGAGTTCTAAGGTCTCAGTTTTAACAGTACAGCGACTGCCCCGCCCTTCAAACCGAAACGCATTACTGCCTCACGGTAAAAATAGGCAAGGTGGTGGCACTTACCTGTGCGGACTCACAAGACGTCCCACCGCTAATAATTACGCAAATTATAATTTTACAGGTTTCATTTTTTATAACACGATATTATTTCTTCGCCGTGGAAGTCAATCGTGAACATTTATTAAGTACGTATTTCATTAGAAAAATATAAAAACCAGACAATTTAAGATAAAAGCAGTTTTAACTAATACGAAAACCTGTATGCATATAAACATGTCTTCATTTTAATCAAACAACAAAACCACAAATTTTAAGTGATTATAAATGACATCAATTTTCCACCAGCAGTCTAAATGTGTTCAAAGATTAACGCACAAAACATCCCTTTTTACCATTTTGTCCTGCGATACAGGTGCTGAAAAGATTCACACGCCAAACAGAAACCCTACATATTAACGCCAAAAATTCCAGAGCATATAAAATGCTAGTCAAATACAACGACAATAGATTCAGAACCGAATTTCAGATATTCAAGATAAACAAAGTAGACACTAGACAAAATGCCCTTTAATTATTGCGTATTTATTACTATACTAACGTCGATATCATCTCAATAGTTCGTCTATACAATAAACTAGCGATCCGCCCTCGCTTCGCTTCGGAAACATTAAAGCACACATGAAACCAAAAAAATAAAATTTTTTTTTTTTTTAAAAGTAGCCTATGTTCATCAGGGACAATGTCGGCTTCTAATGGAAAAAGATTTTTTCAAATCGGTCCAGTAGTTTCGGAGCCTATTCGAAACAAACAAACAAACAAATCTTTCCTCTTTATAATATTAGTATAAATGACTCGACAGCAAATATTCTACATTTGTAAAACCTTAATCAT